TGGACGTGTTTGGCTACATGAAACTGGAGTGGTACCTTCCACCTGGCGCCAATGCTTCAAATATAACCAAGATGGATAAGTTAAATATGTGGTAGCTGAGTCTAAACCATTCCTTGAAGAAGAATCCCATTTTGCTGATGCCAAATTCTACATGGAAGATGAAGAGTGCAATTCTGCAGGGTTGACAATGTCTAAATTCAAAATCAAAAAAGATGCAAATGATCATGATCATCTACTGCTGTTCAATCTCATCAATTTATTAAAGGTAAGTCAAAATTTATATCCGAAGGATTCTCTAGAGGCAAAAAACCTCAAATAGAATCAACCGATTTTGAGGTATTGAAAAAAGAGTTGACTCTTCCAATACCTTGTATTCCAAAATTACTTCTACCCTATCAACTCATGGCGGTCCAAGAGGAACATAAACCTACATCAGAGGCTTCGACATCCGTTCCAGACATATCAAAGCTTTATATATCTAGTTCATCCAAACAAGAAGGAGCTCTTGAATCAAAACAAACTTTCAAAGGATGTTACAATCCTCAAGTCAAAAAGTTGTTTGAAAATATCGGGTTCGAAAAAGGAGAGCCTCGTAAATTAGGTGATCTTGACACTGTCCTTTCAGGTGGGCATGTCTCTTCTAATTATGATGGAGCCCTGATGTCTCGACCCAGGTATAGTTTGGATATGATCCTAATCCACCGAGAAAGATTGAGGTCAAGAAGGTTTCCTCAAACCCCATCATAGTTCAAATTTATGAAGTTGCAGAAGAGAAACCAGAACAACCGAGACCTTCAGTGTTCGATCGAATTGAAAGTGAGAATGCTAGAGTTTTGGTGTTTACAAGGTTAAAAAGAGAACCCTCTGCAGTGGTCGATGTAAAAGGTAAAGTTTCCATCTTTCAAAAGATTAAATGAAGATTCTTCTTCTTCTACCCAGATTGATAGGAATGTACAAGCTCCTCAAATGTCATCCCAAAGACAATTTACATTTTCTCGACTTGGAATCAAAACTTCCAATCTGAGTTCGAAACCACAATGGTCAAGAAGAAGACGAGGACATCAAAAACTCCACTCATCCCTAAAGGATAATGAAGACGAGGAAGAAGTTTCTGCCAATCACATAGCCTTTGAAGAAGCTCCAGATTCAGACTCTGAGTCCGAAAGTTCTGTCACAATAGATGAACCTGAACCAGCCCCACCTAAATTTGAAGAAGGTGGGTAAGCTACTGTGGATGACTTAAAACAATTGAACTTGGGGATCGAAGAAGACCCGAGACTAGTATTTGTAAGTGCCCTCCTCAGTCAAAAAGAGGAATCCGAGTACATTAGTTTGCTTCAGGAATACAAAGACGTGTTTGCGTGATCTTACAAGGAGATGCCGAGGTTATACCCTAAGGTTGCAGTACATCATCTCGCAGTAAGACATGGAGTTCGACCAGTCAAACAACCTCAAAGAAGATTTCGACCAGAACTGATACCTCAAATTGAAGTAGAAGTCAACAAACTTATTGAAACTGGATTCATACACGAAGTGAAATACCCAACATGGATCGCGAATATTGTTCCTGTTAAAAGGAAGAATGGGCAATTAAGAATTTGCGTTGACTTTCGAGATTTGAATCAAGCATGTTCGAAAGAGAAAAATGATTTTCCACTTTCGATAACAGAGTTGATGGTGGATGCAACTACTAGATATGAAGTCTTATCTTTCATGGACGGATTCTCCGGATACAACCAAATACGAATGAACCCGAAAGATGAGGAACTCACATCATTTCGTACCCCTAAAGGCATATATTGTTACAAAGTTATGCCTTTTGGATTGAAAAATGCAGGGACAACCTACCAGAGGGCAATGCAGAAGATTTTCAATGACATGCTGCATAAGAACGTAGAATGTTATGTAGATGATCTTGTTGTCAAAACCAAAAGATGTGACGATCATTTACAAGATTTACGGTATGTTTTCAAAAGATTTCGAAGACATCAACTGAAGATGAATCCGTTGAAATGTGCATTTGGCGTCACCTCTGAAAAATTTCTTGGCTTCATTGTTCGACATCGGGGCATTGAAATAGATCAATCAAAAATTTATGCCAAAATCAACATGCAAGAGCTAAGAAATATACGTGAGTTGAAAAGTCTTCAAGGAAAACTTACATACATTCGAAGATTTATCTCTAACATGGCTGGACGATATCATCCATTTAACAAATTGGTGAAGAAAGATATACTATTTGAGTGGGACGATGCTTGTCAAAATGGTTTCCAAAGCATTAAGCAATATTCGTCATGTCCACCGGTACTCACAGCTCCAGTCCCAGAAAAGCCACTGACTATTTATGTTGCAGCACAAGAATATTCTCTAGGAGCACTTCTTATCCAAGTCAACAATGAAGAAAAGAGAATGCACTCTATTACTTAAGTCGAACACTGGTAGGCACTGAAATGAAGTATTTACCTATTGAAAAAATGTACCTTGCATTAATCTATGCAGCTAAAAAGTTGAGACATTATATGCTATCACACACGATCAATCTCGTTTCGAAGATTAATCCATTGAAGTACATAATGTCTAGGCCAATTCTCTCTGGACGGATTGGAAAATGGACACTACTATTGTCTGAGTTCGATATCAAATTCATTTCACAAAAGGTCATTAAAGGACAAGCTTTGACAGATTTCCTAGTGGACCACCCAATTGCAGTGGAATGGAAACTTCAAGAAGACCTTCCCGATGAAGAAGTTCTATTAAGGCTCAACGGAATCAAGAAATGGTTCTGACCTTTATCCCCAAACCCACATTCAAGCAAGCTAGTCATCAAGTCATTAACCACTTCACGGGGAGCCCCTTCACCATTAGGTTGGCTAGGCCACACTCTTAAGATTAAGCTTTCCCATCTCTCAAGTGAGAAGGATTTACTGCTTACTGAAGCCATACCATCATGGAGGCTATACTTCGACGAGGCAGCCCAAAGTTATGGTGTCGGGGTAGGAGTAGTCTTAGTCACTCCCCATGATCTTGTCATGCCCAGCTCTTTTGCCTTAGCAGAGAAATGTTCAAACAACGTGGTGGAATATCAAGCTCTTATCTTTGGTTTAGAAGTAGCGTTAGATATGGATATCCACCAGCGGAAAGTCTTTGGAGATTCTAAATTGATAATCAACCAACTTTTAGCTGAGTATGAAGTCCAAAATTCAAACCTGGAACAATATCGTGAATATGCATCAATGCTTATGAGACGACTTGATTCAGTAAAAATTAAATTCGTCCCAAAAAGTGAAAATAGGAAAGCTGATGCCTTAGCTAATTTGGCTGCTGTTTTAGCTAGGTCAAATGAAGATTTCTCACACTCTATATCAATTGCTCAAAGATGGGTGCTTCTATCGTTGCTACCCAATAATTTGGAAGAAAACAAAAGGGTCGAAGTACTCAAAAATGAGGAAAGAGAAGATTGGAGACAACCGATAATCGATTTCCTTCAACATCAAAAGCTACTAGATAATCCACGGTGAAAAACTGAAATCAAGAGGCGTGCCTCTCGCTTTATCTTTTATAAGGGAACATTTTATCGACGATCATTTGATGGAGTTTTTCTTCGATACCTGAGTGATGACGAAGCAACACAGGTCGTGGAAGAAGCCGACTCTGGAATTTGTGGTGCCCATCAGTCTGGACCTAAACTCCATTTTCGAATAAAAAGGATGGGCTATTACTGGCCAACTATGGTACAAGACTCCATGGATTTTGCAAGAAAATGTGAAGCTTGCCAAGTTCATGCCAATTTCATCCATCAACCTCCGGAACCATTACATCCAACAGTAGCTTCATGACTATTTGATGCATGGGGTCTTGATGTAATTGGACCTATAACTCCGAAGTCTTCTGCAGGGCAGGCATACATCCTCACCGGAACCGACTACTTCTCCAAGTGGGCCGAAGCCGTACCATTGAAGGAAGTAAAGAAAGAAAATGTTGTAGATTTCATTCGTATCCAAATCATTTATTGATATGGTGTTTCCCGGCATATCATAATTGATAATGGAAAACCATTCTGCAATAGCCACGTAAACAATTTATGTGCTAAGTTTGGGTTCAAACAGTATAACTCGTCCATGTACAATGTGGCAGCTAACGGATTAGTAGAGGCGTTCAACAAAACACTATACAGTCTGCTAAAAAATGTTGTCTCCAAATCAAAAAGAGATTGGCATGAGAAAATCGGTGAAGTCTTATGGGCTTATCGAACTACTTATCGGACTCCAACACAAGCCACTCCTTGTGCCTTAGTATATGGAGTAGAAGCTATACTTCCTCTAGAGTGTCAAATCCCGTCACTTCGAATTGCCATCCAGGAAGGTTTGACAACTGAAGAAAATGCCTGCCTTCGATTGGAAGAGCTGGAAGCTTTGGATGAGAAGAGATTAGAAGCACAAATGCATATAGAGTGCTATCAAGCTCGAATGGCCAAGTCTTTCAACAAAAAGGTGCGACTAAGATCATTTCAAGTTGGAGATCTGGTACTTTCCGTGCGCAAGCCAATCATAATTACAAGAAAAACAGGGGGCAAGTTCCAACCTAAATGGGATGGTCCATTTCTTGTTACTCGTGCATTCACTAACGGAGCGTACAAGATCGTCGACAAAGATGGATTGCAAATCAGACCTATCGATAGAAAATTTTTAAAGCGTTTTTACGCCTGAAGTTCTTTATTTTTAAATCTTTCATTGTACAAAAAAAATTGTGTTCTTGTAAACGTTCAACTTGATCCCATTTGGGTACGTAAGAGGGTTGAATAAATTATAAATTCAAGTTCAGTCACAACTAGTAAATTCATTCAATTTGTGTACCGATTGCTGTAGTAAAAAAAACACGAGAAACGTGAAAAAGAAAAGTTCATCCAAATAAAAAAAATAACAAGTCAAAATTCATACAATATGGTCTAAAAAAAGTTGATCCCATTTGGGTACGTAAGAGGGTTGAATAAATTATAAATTCAAGTTCAGTCACAACTAGTAAATTCATTCAATTTGTGTACCGATTGCTGTAGTAAAAAAAACACGAGAAACGTGAAAAAGAAAAGTTCATCCAAATAAAAAAAATAACAAGTCAAAATTCATACAATATGGTCTAAAAAAAGATCAGAAATTCATGACTTCATCAGGATCACTCGCAGGAAACTATCTTCAAGGGTCTTCATTTTCTGGTCAATGGATGCTACACTAGCGACATCTAGGGGTGTCAAAAAGGCTCGGTGGCTCGGGCGGCTCGTGGCTCGGCTCGGAAAAAGCCCGAGCCCGCCCGGCTCGTGGCTCGGGGGGGGGGG